AAAGGAAGTAGGTATCAAAGAGTCTTGTTGTGTATATTTTTTTTTCCAGAACTGCCATAGCACGTTGTTAGCACAAAATAAAAAAATAGCGGAGATACACGGGGAGCTAATGATAAAAAGGGTTCTGGAAATCAGTTTCATTTACTTCACACGCTGAAAGGGAAAATGGTATAGATATTGGTTGACAAATCATTAGGGAACTCCAAACGGGTGGCAATACTAAAATTGAGGCGGTGAGGGAAATTTCACGGATGTATATGTGTGTGTGTGTGTGTCAAAATTTGGTACATGCTTCCCCTGTGGATGGGAACTAACTTTGTCTTTTTCTATGCCTTTAATTCGTTGAACTAAGATGTTTAAACTAACTAAGAGGGGTTAAGTTAGAATATTTCAAAATATAAATCTTACACTAGAGATCCCTTGAAAGCCAGTTGATGAAACCTTCCAGTAGCCCATAGTTAACAATGGTTTAAGTAACTGATTGATGTAATATGCTATATGTACGGTAGGATTTATTCATTGAAATTAGTCTATTTGAGTAGAAGCACAGCATTAATAATAGAACTGTCAAAGTGGGATTAGGCTCTCTGGTCTGAGGAACACTTGATGTGGAAAGCCCCCTAAAGAAAGATTATTTGAACTTGAAGTTCGACAGTGACCATGAATGATAAATATTGCTCACGAATAATGATAGTTTCAACGATATGTCTAACCACATCCCATTTTGTCATCGACATCATCTAGTACAATTCAAAGTCAGAATCCACTTCATCGTCCGTTTATTTGCGAATTTTCACAATCACCATCACACTTACAGGCCTCGGTGCTTTGCATCTCAAGTTTCTTTCAGTGACATCGGTCACAACAGCTCTTCGTATAGCCACATACAGTTAATACCACAATTACATTTTGTGCTGCTTCAACTTGGGCAAAGCCTGATACAAGAAAATCATCATCAGATTCCCAAACTTTACTAACTGGAGGTGGTTGACAATTAACGGCTGCAGTGCATGGATCCAGATAAAAGCTTGCCCTATGATTGTGTATATCAACACAACGATTTGTTGGTGACAGCTTGATACTACCAAATGCTTTCTTTGTGAATAAAAAGTACCGCAAATCATCTAGATTTTCAAGATTCTAGCCGTACAACTTGGTTTTAAAAAATTCTGTAGTTTGTAGAACATTGCAATTTATGTTGAATGTATCATTACCTAAATTTAAAAAAAAACAACAAGTCTTTATGATGAGCCTTGATGGTGGTGAGGCCTTTCTTTTTTTGCCGAATCCTGATAAAAAAAAACTTGCTGGATCACATCCTTCAAATCGTGAGTTGATGGTAGATATTTAAAGGCTTCCTCATCTATAATGAAACTGTGTCATAGATGGAAATTTACCTTTTTTTTTGCCCCAAATCCAATAGGAAAGAACAGTTCGCGCGCATCAATTCCAGTATAATGATGAAACATAGCACTGCTAAGTCAGTAGCGGGAGAACAGACAACAACTGTATCACAACCGTTGGCTTTGGAGTACATGCAATGCAAAAGCATCCATTGTCTCAGCCTTCTCATGGTAGAGAAAATAACAAATAAACTACAAGGTTTTAGTGAAAAAACACTTTTGTGCGAATGAAATATGAAAACCACCTTGCACTGAGACTAGTTACAATCTGAGTCAGTCTTTGACTTCATACATTCACAGACAAATCATTGGTAAAAATATTTAATGAAAATAAAAAACATGATTTTAATGTGCAAAAGACTTGTAATGTTTACTAAAAGCTTGCCAAATTTCGTGAAGATACATGTAGAACATTCACGATTATAGTATTTATAGTTTCGTGGTTACATTAAAGTTTACAGTGTCGGTCATTTTGACCATCCCCAGATGAATAGAATTTAAAAGCGCTATTGTCCTTTGCGATATTTCAGACACTTGTTTTGAAAAATAATCCACTGTGTTTACGGAAAGTACAACAAGTCATGAGACATGCAACTAACGAGGTCAAAGTTCACAAATGATTTGCTTTGACACAGTTATTACGTGCTTGTGGGGATCATGGGAAAAACCAATGCTCGCGAAGTGATGTCCCCATGTTACCCTTTTATTAAAATGTTTGCATTTTTAGCTTTTAAATTAAATCTTTCTTTTTTTTAAATTTACATTTGGACAATAAATACATTTAATGCCCACAAAAGCCATACAGCCTTCATACGCAGGTCCTAACATTTGACCCCCTAGAAAATCGACCTGATACAATTTGTTTGTACTGCTACCAATTTCATTCTACCAAGGAATGTGTTTCTCTAAATCATTTGGATTTTCTCTTTCAGGTTTCGAAGTAAACGAAAATTGATTTTCACGGTGCTAGCTCTCTGACTAAGAAGACAGTTCGAAACAAGCTTCATCTTTA